CGTTTCCATGCTTCGCAGCCTCTTGGGCGAAAAATGGCAATTTTCATTGCCCTGGACTACGGTCTTGTACGGCCAAGAACGGCCACGCAAGCTCAAAAGGCCATGTGATCTGACGTCATGAACTCCGTCTGATAGCCTGAAGGGGTATCTGTGTACATGTGACTTTCGTAGCAGTTTGAAGTTCTTATGTGTATAGAAATTTTTAAATGGTTTTATGTTTCATTATTAATTGTAGATCAATAATGCCAGACTGATGCTCTGTTCCATGATGCCAGTAAATTTATGATAAAGCTGGCACACAAGTTTCTGTATTCAGGTTCTCTATACAAGTTGATAAGAAACGAATGTGGTGCAAGAAAATTCTGCGGAAAGATTGGTCGAAGATGTGAGAAGCATTCTATCCACACCAGTAGAAAGTAATTTTAGAGTCTTGCAGAAATAACAGTTTATCCAACAATAAAATTAGGAAATTTGACTACTTACTTATCATGACGATATATTACTAATAATAGTATGCTGTAACTGAAAATCGATCAAACCTTTTTATTATAAAATTTATGGATCTAAAACTGCCAAATAATCTTTTTTTTTTTCTCTCTTTTGTGATTTATTATACATTTTTCTTTACACCATTCTATTACAACGCATTTGTCAATTCGTATATTATTTATTTTTAATCTGTTAGAATGCTTCATGGAATTTTTCCTGCAAGATAATAGATTCCTTGATGAAAATAAAACTTTTACTTTTTTATTGGTGCTGGGTGAATTTCTGTAATTTATGAAAGGAATATTTCTGCGTATGCTCTGCCAGAAATAGTTGTTAATATTTGACACTTCGAAAATATAAATTTATAGGTGATGAAAGCATAAATGAACGACTGGATGATGCAATGATGCTTAGTTAACCACACTATACAAGAGAAGCATCTACGGAAATCAATATAGTACGTATATTGACACTATTTTACTAGTAACTGTTTGCGACTTTAACTGGCATTTTTGAAATTTTTCTAAATAAGGCATAAACAAATCTAAAAAGGCCTTAACGATCGCCCAAAAACCTCTTTTAAAATTTTTAACATTAAATAAAGCTAGTTTTTAAATTTTCCCAAATTCAATTCAATGTATACCTCTTACAGTTTATTCAAATTATACTCCATACAAGTAATGATATAAAATTTCTTGTCCTCTTAAAATACGTCTTTTGAAAAAACATGTCAAAGCATTTTTCTTCATAAATGAGCTGAAATGTTATTTTTACCTATCGAAGATGAATGGCAATGTCTGCTTCGCGTGACTCGTTCTTTTCCCACCTTAGATTACTCAATCTTAAATAAAAGGTATTGGCGAAATAATAGTCTTGTTGATAGCTATTCTTCCTTGGTAGCTATTCTTTTTATTGCACTGGAAGTAATTCTCATTATTCAGTAAATTGCGACTTGCCACTAGGAGGTCTGTAGGAACAAGTTGTGAACAATAGCAATAAATTGCGTTCGATTTGACAACCTAGTTCCGGTTGGGAAAAAACGTAACAACCAACCATTTTGTTCTCAATCTGTCTGCTGTTGAACTAGAGTTCACGGAAATAGCAATCTTTGCTTTTCGAAGCTCAGAAGAACCATAGTACATATAAATGTCGTGCAAAATGCGGAGATGTAATTGGGTTAAAATTGGAATGAGCACAGTTTTTAAAAGTGACACTGTAGATGGACAGCATGCTACAGCTTGTGAGTATACATATATATTATATTTAAATTAATTAAATCTGGTACATAAATGCTGCATAAAAACAATTAATATTTCTGGAGATTCTAATGTTTCACCGCTATCCTTCGGAGCTGTTATGCTAATACATTCTTTAGTATCATTATCATTTTTGAATTAACCAATGTTTTAAGCATTATATAATTTTTCCTGTAATTGAATAACTCGATGAAATAAAAGCAATACATAGGACTGTTGAAATATATGGGGACTGTGAGGATTTATGCAAAAGTATTAAAAAACTTGAACGTTTTCCGATTTACGTTAGATTAAAATTATATCAATAACTCTGGACTTTCACCGAATTTAAAATGTAAAAAAACCGTAACAAATGTGAAAGCGTTAAGCTAACATTCAAAGTAGAAAGGTATGGTGTAAATTATTTCAAATAAAATTAGGTTAGATGGGAAAAGTAAAAAAATACAAATTTAATATAATAAATTTTAAAATCCCAAGGTCTAATATTAATATATAAGGTCTAATATTAATAATATACGGCAAATGAAAATTCAGTTGTAACAAGCTGGAAAAAGACTAGGTCATATTTCCTTTTCCCCCTTAGAACTGAATTAATTGCATTCCAGATAATATTGAAAAATGTCAAATTAAAATTTGTGTTTCCTTTAAGTAAAAAAGTCATAAAAATTACACTTTTTTCTGGAGCTTTTCAGATTAGGATACCCATTTAATTATTGACTAATATTAGTTAATTTAAAGCATAATTTTATATTATTTACTTATACATGCTACAAAAGCTTTCATATACTGAAATTTAGTTGCCCCCTTGAAAACAAGAAATAAATAAAATACTGTTTTTAAATGTAGAAAATCTGGTCGCTGCATTTTATTACACGGATGGCTAAATGACCTCAATTAGTAGGAATAGATGTTCGAATATTCGAATGACAGCGAAGACTGTATCATGGGATATGATTTTACCATTTCAAATCTGAATATAGCAGCGAGAAGCGAGGCATGTCGATTACCACAATGTTTTGTGTAAAATTTTGTAAACGTATACCATTCGTCAGGTGCCACAGAAATATTGTTAAATGAGCAGAATTTGGCTGAAACCATAACTGTATCAAAGAAATGCGCTCCGTAATCGATTTATATTTGATAACTCGTAATTTATAATTATTCAGAAATAATTCTCAATTGGATCTCAGTTCATAGTATGTCGATGCTTTAACAAATTTGTAAAAAGCTTTTAAAGCTTAAGTCTTTTATCTCGCTTTTTTGCAAAGTTAGATTTGAAAGTTTTTCTAATTTTTCGCTAAGCTATACAGCAATGACTTTATTCAGCTAAACATGGCTACTTACTACAATTAATTCTAACATGTAAAATATAAGACCCTTCACACTGAAATGAAAGGTCTGCGGAAAGACTTTTCCATTGGAACATTCATACATTTCATAAAAATATAGTATGGTTTCGAATTCGATTAACTTAGAGTAGCTTAAGAGGAGGAGATATCTATTATAACGATCAAAAGCTTCGAGAATGATTCATTTAAAATACGCTTGACAACATATCATTTACAAAGTTATTCCTAAAGATGTTACGATTTTGAAAAATTCTGAAAGATCATTTGTGTGTGCGGCGCGTTGCTTCTCAATATTTTTTAAAAATTTGAATTTTTTCCCAAATAACAGCATGTTCAAATGGCTCAAGAGATGCTTTCTCAAGTCACGTCGTTCTTGAAACTCACTACCACCAGTGACGATCTCCGCTTCATACAGAAATAGCTCAATAACCAAGTAAATAATTTTCAAAGGGTGAAATATGACTGAAAACATACGCAAAATTCAGCCAAAAAAAAAAAAAATAAAAGTTATATTGATACTTTTATTCGATTGTCAGTTTTGTACATCGTGAAATTCTATCAGCTAACCAAAGTGTTAACAAAGAATGTTATTTTGAACGTAAACGCGGCTCTAGGATGAAACGGTTTGTAGAGGAAAAAAAACTGAAGCATGATGAGTTTTGTTTTCCTAATAGCGGGCATTAGCCATTATTAGGCTTGGCCAATACTAAGGCCTGAAGCGGAGGTCTCTTTACTGTGGAGGCACCTATTAGGTCAGCCACCATTGCCTCTTATGAAGGGACATAAATCCATGCCTTCTCCAGGATTCGAAAGGACTCAGGTTCAGATCCCGGAGAAGGCATGAATATAATCTTTTCCTGGAGAATGCATGGATCTTCGGTATGGCAGTCAGAGTCACGAACTACTTTTCCATCTGAGTGGCTGGCATGGCGAGATGACGCATGGATTTTGCACCCCAGTAATGCACCTGTTCACAATGTTCTTGTTGTTCGTGAATCTTTTCTCCAAAAAGTTAATAAAGTGGGTCGCAAGCTCCTTTCTGCTCTTGATATCGCTTCGTGTGACATTTTCTTTGCTCGGCGTTTAAAACTGTCGCTTAGTGGTCACAGGGTTCGAATCAACTGATGCAGTAACATAAAATTCGTTGCGAATTCTAAAAGTGTTTGTCAAAAACACCTTCAAAACACGTTTCGAAGATTGGAGAAAGCATTGTTATAAATGCATTGCAGTCGGATGACTTCGATGATTTGACTACGTCAATGCACGCAAAGGATATCTGCCTAAGGGAAGGGATGCCTTCCCGGATGTCTTCCTAAGAAACACTCGTTCTTATACACTTTACATATAGGGAAAATCATAAGAACGTCCATGCAGTCACCTCGTTCGCCTGGAATGTAACTACGTCTTCAATGCTCAGCTGCTGTTAAGCACCAGGGATTACTTTGAAAAAGATGTTATAATTATCAACCAATAAACTAAAACTCTTACTTTTACGGAATCATTCCCGATACATTTTGATGATAGTAATACAAATATAGTCCAGAAAGAACCTATATTTTTCAGAATGTAATTAACAAATTTAGTAAGCAATCATATAACGAACTTCTTCGTAATTCTAAAATGGATAGTGTGTTTATATCATACTGTTACAGGTTTAAAAGGTAATTTACAAGATGATTTTTGTTTTAACTGCAACAATATTTCGATAAATATAGTTTACATTTGTTGTATATCATGTAATCATGAAAAGTTACATATGAGTCATGTTATACTTTTCAGCTTTTTTTTACCACGGCATATTTCCGAGTGAATTACGAATAAAGTGAAATACTGTTCCATTTCTGTAAGACATTTATAGATATCTTATCTGTGTCAGGAAGTTAAATTTAATCCTCTTTCTTTTCAGATGAAAACAAGACCACTGTATATCACCATGTTTGCAGACATTTTGCCATTGAGATAACAATAGCAAGCCCTCTTACTTCACCTCTCGTTGCTTGAGCAGGAAAAAAAGTTTTTTTCCGTTTCAGGTACCTTATCTGAGTTTTTTAAATTTTCCTACTGCATCTCTAAATGTAATTCAAATGGCAAAGAAAGAGTTAAGTTATTGAAAATACAGAAGATATTTTTCTGTTTGCTCAGATAGAAAAATGGTTTTCTGCTTTGTATGTTTCTTAAATTTTGATCGAAATTAACAGTTTACTTAGAGTTTATTACCGAAAATCTTACACTTAAGTCTGATTCCTGCAAGCGTTTCGAAACCTTAGAATCTGTTCTGGATTCTTCCTTTTTAATATTCTTTCTACTTCCCACGTCCCACGTCCTCAGAGGAAGGAGGGGATGATTTCTTCTTTCTCTCCTCCCCCTTTTTTTCTAATTACAACATCAATTTCAGGCCAACCAATTCAATTAGTGCAACCACATATTTGAATTGCGGCTTTTTATCCCAAAAGAAAGTTAGGATAGAAAAGTCTCGAAGCAGCATTTTGCTTTGAATCCCTCTAAAAGTCTGATTCAGTTTTCAAAATGTTGCCACAAAATATTATTGCCCTGCATTATATTTAAAGAAACTAAATAATGAAGAATCTGTATGTGTGTTTTTCGCATTGTAAAAAACAACGGTACCTAGAGCCATCATATTTTAAATTTATGTAATTCTTCACTCGAACATGGGCACCCGAATTTTGAATTTGTTTTATTATCTATTTCACATTTTGTAAAACTTTAACGAATTTTTTATTAACGAACTCAACGATTTCAAAGCGAGCAATGGCAACACTGTAAAAAAAATTCCGACAGACTGCCTGTCAAAAATTCTAAAGATATGTTGTTTTAAAATATTTTGTGATATTGCTGTTGAATTGAATTTTATGTGGTTTAAGTGCGAAGAACATTATATTTAATAAATAAAGGTAACACACAAAGCGTTAAAAACGCCCCTTTGGACGTAATATAAAATCTGAAAGCTTTCACATTTTTATTTATTTATTTGGTAATAATTTTCCCGAGAAATTTTCTCAGGACAATGTTTTTTCGTATTGCGTTAATTTTTACTTCATTTTATATCATGTATTTACTAGATTTGCTGAGAAAATAAGAAGCTGTCCATTATTTTCAAGCATATGGTATTTTGCCAGAATATCAAGAGTGTTCCAATTCTCCTGCAGTGAATCTCTAGATGAGAGAAAATGTACGATGACCGCCGGAAATCGAAGCCTGTTACACTGGTGTTGACGTCGAAATTATATTTCATCGCTAAAAGGCGCTAATAGATTGGTGATGATGCATTGGCGGATGGCAGTTATACACAAAAAGCCTTTATTCAATTGCAATTATTATAAAAATTCAAATTTTAGACATTGAGGATTTTTAAATTAGAGTCAGGTTAAAACTAAATTAAATTTTGTTTTCCATCTGTAGTTAAAATACATGAAAACATGCCAACCGAAAATATTTATATGAAGAGAGGCAAATAAAAATATGTGGTGTCTTTTATTCGTCAGTATTTCATTTATTAACAAATGGGCTTAACATTTGGGCTTAACATAACAAATGGGCTTAACATTTAAGTTGTCACTACATATTGCTACGAAAGATTAAATTATGTAACTGTGAAATCAAGATTGCATAATGTAATCAAAGTTAAGTTTAATCAAGATTCAATCACTGAAATCTCCCGGCAAAGAAAGGTTGTCTGGAAAAGGTTGTTTTCTTTGAGTAGCTTAATTGCTAAAAGCAAATTCTATTAAGCATGACACGCTTGGTGTTGCGACCAGGTGAAGTCCGAGATTCGCATACCACATGCAGCCTAAATTTTTATAACTATAATAAACAAATGAGATGTAGGATTCAAAAATAAATCTCTCTGTACAGAAGACATACTCGACCTTCATTGAAAATATTAATAGCCTAAAAAGTTTACTTAACATTCTGAGATTTAATTATGCACAGAGATTTAACATCTAGTTTCGCAAAGATCGTTCCAAATTTAATGCGCAGCTTAGATACAACGCTTTTTGAATGTTCTTGCATTTTAAAACAAAAAGGAAATTTTTTTTCTTAAATAATTCTACACCCATACTTCATCCACTGCTAACCGCCATTTTTATCTTAACTGCTTAAGAAAGTTTCTTCTCGTCTTTGTGATACTAGCGTATGCATTTTAAACATTTTAATATCTGCTGCAATATGGCATATTAATTATAAATTGTCACATGAATTTTGATTTGATTTTAAATACAATTTTTGAAGAGAATACAGTCGATTTTTATAAGAAAAACATATTTCAAATTAGCAAAATCATATAATCAGTGCACGGTGGTTCAAATGTTATTATCTTTATACCGTCCCATTGCCGATTTAACAAGATTTTTTAATCTGAAGAAAAGCGTTTTTTAACGGCAGCTTTTTAGGAAATTTTTTAACACTCCCCAGGTGAAAGTTTCATTAGATTTTAGCATTCTGTATTATCAGGATTTATCAATATTGTCAGTGGTATCATTATTATAATTTATAAAAATTATCAGATAGTTTTTATAAAAATTATCAAAATCAAAGTTATTATTTTTTATAAAAGTTATCATTATTTTATAAAAGTTATCACTATTTCATCATATAAAATGAATTTAAACTTAAAAAGTCAACATATATATCAATGTAAAGTACACTTACCCCTAATATGAACAGAAAACAATATAAAGGGAAACATTATGGAGGAGGTAACGAGCACTGATAATAGCATACAAATTCAAAAGTTATCCAGTAAGAAACATGAAATTAAATTACAAATAGTAAATTATAAGTAGCAACATAACAAATTAATTACAGATTACATAAAATATGCGTGAAATATACAAATGTTAAAAAAAAAAAATTTGCTAATTCAGTTCATTTTTCAGTCTGAGAGTTCAAGTAGTTGATGTCTCTTTAATTCTCATCTTTTAGTTTTTTACCATACAAGATTCCGCAAGACGGTCACTGTCATCCAATACTTCAACCCAAGTTTTACAGGAATTTAAATTTGGTTGCTGTTTCTAGTAAAACCACATCACCTTTTAAAGATTCTTTTTAGTTTCAGTAATACCGAAGAAATTAAGCATTTCTTAAATCTAGAAGATATTGATTTTTTTAGTTACCCCCAAATTTTCTTTAAATCTGATATTGTTTTCGTTTCATTTAACTTTCTCTGCTGAGAAAGGTATCCAGTATCTTTTCAAAGTTATGTGATATTCAGGTTTAAACCCAATCAACAGAAGATGAGCTGGTGTAAATGCTTCAGTTTCGCGTAACTCATTATAAATTATATATATATTATTATATATATATTATGTCAAAGGTTATGTGTACAAGATAGTTTCAAATTCCGTGAGAATAGCCATAATTTCTTCAGAATTAAATTGAGCTCTACATAGAACCATTTTAAAAGCTCTTTAATAAAAGCTCTTTAATGCTTTTCATAATGCGTTCGTAGAACCCTGTCCACCATGGCTGTCATACCTTTTCTTTTTGGGCGTGTAGGTTCTGGATATATGGTTGCGTAACGTGGAACGTGAACTAAATATGGGCATCGCTTAAAACCAGACATTTAATGACCACAATACTTTATTAACACACAAACAAAACAAGAACAAACAATTAGCTCAAAAATAGAACCACGTTTATCATTACGCTGGCATACAGGGACAGGGACAGGGAAAAGTGGACGGAGCACCAGAACTTCGTCAGTGACTTTTACAGGTGTTGCTCCGCCGCACTACTGTACCCCGCTGGGCTTTTAGTTGGGCCGCATCGGATGCTAGCCTACCAAGACATTTACATAGTAATTTTACATTAATATTAGACTTACGTATTGAATATACAATTACAAAGACATAGTATACAATTATTGCAAAGAAATTAACCTATCAACAAAAGTTGGATTATGGCAGATTGAAATAACATAATTACTTCGAACATACATACAAACTTTCATTGTACATGTACTTCACACAAACAATATATTTACATTAGTATATCTAGTTACATCGAATTAAATAAACATCGTTTTTAAGGAACTAATTGAAGTTTTTTTTTTTTTTTTTTTTTTTTTTTTTTTTTTTTTTTTTTTTTTTTTTTTGTGCATTTATCATACTTAGTTGAATTACTAAGGCGAATTCTCTTATTAATACATTTCCTTTCATTTTTTTAACTTGTTACACACAAATGCATCAGCACTGAGTCTTACATTATTATTTTTGTAATTAATGTATCATAAATACAGAAAATATACATTAGAAAATCACATAATACTTACCATTTACACACTATATCTAATAGAGTCGTATATTATTTACATTATTTTTTAATTAATGATTAATTATTACACTAATACAGTCCAAATTCTTAATGTAACTATTTTATAAAAACTATTTATACCATATTTAGCCTGTTTCAGACACTTGTAATATTTCTGAAATCTTGCATATTATTTTTGCAAGTTGTAGAATAAGAGGTATTTTATACAGATGCGATAGCATCTTGACATATGTCTTCTCTTTTATATGCAAAAAGTTTCTTCTTCATAATCAAGGAAACCTTTTGTTGTAAATGAGGTATCGTTAGCATGCATTTAATGTACTCAGGCGTAATTTGTGACCTTCCTTTGCAGTGTAGCTCTTTTTGTGAGCTTTCACTTGAAATATAGTGCTCTGGGTCTCCCTTTTCCCCCCCCCACATACGCACTTGTCTGATTCGCTCAAATTTCGTGCAAAGTAGTACGTGGGGAAAGGACCATGTCCAGATAAGAATATGTTGATGAGAAGTTATAAGAGATTGGATCATATGTGGGTTTCTTGTAGAAGTTGAAAAGCCTTCTACCTACTTCTGCATTTCCCATTCAGTTTGCCATTTTTTTAATGTAATTTTTTTCACAACATATGTTTCACATACGATTTAGGGAATGGGACATTGATTGGAGGTAGAGATGGGTCTTGAGCTGCATTTTTAGCAAGCGCATCTGCCCTTTCATTTTGGGCTTGTCCAGCATGCGCTT